CAGTTTATTTTTTCAATGGTGACCTTTGCAGTTTTGTTTGGAGTATTTTTAATGTGTCTAAGTTGTCTCTATTCTCTTAATTTAAAATTGGGATTCCATTGAAAATATTTATCTCAATGCTAAATGACTCCTATTATATAAAGTGCAACAGGGCATTTGTGGTATATTATTCTTGAGATTGTTTGCTTGTGTTCTTATGGTTCTCACTCCCCAAAATTTTACTAAAATGCTATAAGTTTAAACAAATTAACCTACCTGGACATAAATAGACGCTGTACTTTCATTATTTAATATATGCTAGTTTTTGTCCATAACACTACACTTTTTTTTTTCTTTTTTTATTAACTTTTTTTTTTCTCCCGCTCTTCTCAGGTTACTAATAGGAAGTCTCGCCGATGGTTAAATGATCGTCTTCTAATGGAGCTTGTTCCTCGTTTGAATGCTGAAGAAGTTAGAGGCTTGTTTGCTCCACCACCTTGGGGTATAATACATTACACATCCAAAGAATCTGTCCATTTTTAATTGTGCAAGATGTGATATGATCAGAGTTATTTCAGAGTGATATAGATGCTAAACGTATTAGAAATTAGAGCCTTCTTTTGTTTGTCACTCTATGGTATGTTACACTATAGGATTCGAAGTAAGAAATCGAAGTAGCTGATTGTTCATAAGCCCTGTAGCTGATCGTTCATAAGCCCTTAGGCAACTAGTTACAACCAAGGTGAATAGTTACAACCAAGGTGAATTCGAGAGCTCATCCTTCTCTCTCAAAAGACCAGAAGAGCCTTCCTATATTCCCATCCATCCCTAACACATTGTCTATACTACTAACTTTGATACTTAGAAAAGTTTTTAGGGAGATTGGTTATAAATAGAGTGAGGGTAAGGAATGAAGGCAGACACTGATTTAGTTGGGTTTAGACTTGGGTGTTATCTCAAGAGAGGGGAGGTTCAAGTACCTTGAATTACTTGGGGAATAATGTAGTTCTAATACCTTTTCCATTTTAATATATTTCTAGTTGTTCGGGTTCTATCATAATCATTTTGTTTTTTTTTTTTTAACTTAGGCTTAGAAATACTATTTCCACCTTCGTATGTTTTTGTTTTGTTATCTACCGTTTAAAACATCCTCAAAATCTAAGTCAAATTTTGAAAACTAAAAACATACATACGTATATATATATATATAATATTTTTTTTCGAAATTGATTCCATTTTTTGTTTTTAAACATTAGGCTTAGAAATACTATTTCCACCGTCGTATGTTTTTGTTTTGTTATCTACCCTTTAAAACATCCTCAAAATCTAAGTCAAATTTTGAAAACTAAAAACATATATACATATTATATATATATAATTTTTTTTTTCGAAATCGATTCCGTGTAGCTTACGCTAGTGGATCCTTATAACTTGAGCTCGTTACCTGAGTTGAGCAACACTGTGATCAACGTGGGCTTGAACTTGAGACTCGAATTTGAGACCTCAAGGTAGGTGGCACCTAAAGGTCCCAAGCGCTTGCCACTCCACCCTCCCAGGGGACCAAAAAAAAGTTTTAAAAAACTTTAAAAAAAAATCTAATGAAGATTACCAATGCGTTTCTAAAGAAAGATGATAAACATGCCACAGAAATAGGGGAAAACATGCATAGTTTTAGGAAACAAAAAACTACATATGAAATTGTTATTGAATCGGGTCATAGTAATTAAAGTTTTTGCATTTGCGATTGTATTCATTTCACTGTTTTTTAATGTTTCCTTTTTGGTGTTATTCTGGCCATGCTCGAGCTGATTTGTGCAAGAGATTTTTTTCTTAGAGGGAAAGGCTATATCTGCTCATCTCTCCTATTCTAATTTTTATCAATCCTTTCACTCGAGCCTAGAAATTCCTCACACTGGTGAAAGGATGCATCATGGTCTGAGGTTAATTTTCAGGTGATGATGTACGGCCCACAACATTCTCCATGACTAATGCAGAAGACTGGGACAAGTTCAGGAGTATAGACATGGATAAAGAGGTCTTTTTTTTTTTCACTTTCATGTTTCCTTTTTTTTTTTAATCTTCAGTGCAGTTGAATGTTTCTGAAGTTAAAGAATCGCAAAGCTAGATGTGTAATTTAAGAGCATAATCCATTTATGTGATTTTCTTGTTAGGCTAAGATCATCGGAGTCTTGGAGAACTCATCTGCTAAGAGAAAAGGTCATATTGATGCTGACAAAATGGCTTTCTTGAATGCCTGGCGCAGAATTGAATGTCGAACTAGAGAGGCACTTCGCCGAAGTTTTCTTCCAGAACTTGTTGAGGGTTTTGAGGTATGCATGTGTAGATAAATTCATATTCCTTCAGCTCATTTCCTGAATGTCTTTTAATTATGTTATGAGTCTCGACTCTCTTCATTATAACCCAGTCACAGGTTTTAAATCACTCGTGAATATATGAATATATGTTTGTTTACAACCTCCCCTAACCTCCCCTTTACAACCAAATTGGGCTCAGCTGACTGCAACTTCTGCTCCATCTTAATCTCAAGGCTGTCTGTAGTTGGAGAGAGTGGCAAGCCATCAATCAACTCAACTAATAACTTGACAACAAGTTACATTTTTGGCTTTTTCAGGGGTGCATAAGATCATTCATTTCAGACACTAGTAAAGATGTTCTGACGTTGCGAGTTCAAGATCCATTCCACAGATTACTGCTTCATGGAGTTTGTGAGGTATTTCCACTGACAAAATAAACATGTTCAACCGTGAGATAAAAAATATACCTACCCTGGATTCATTGTAACTTATCCGACCTGAAATGATTTACAGTTATAAGAATTGGACCTATTGAAAATGTTAGTATACTAACCACCGACAAACTCATAGAGGAAGAAAAACGCTCTTATATACATCAATACATAAAGTATGAAATACATTTCAAAATTCAATATATGAAGGACGAAATCGAGAATGGCATGGGGAATTGTATATTTAACTAAACTTGATCCCAGAAGTAGCTGATCTATATACGTCTCCTAAACAATGTTTTAAAAGGCTAAAGGCGGCCTCGAGGCTTTTTCTCTTGAAAAGGCGAGGCGGCCTCAATTTTAATTAAAAGAATTAAACAAATCCTAAATTTGTGTGGTCAAGTATTACCAAACATAATAGTTATATAAAATTATCAAAATATCCACCTATTACTTGTCACTCAACAAAAATTCTAAAAAAAATCATAACATCACTACTATTATCACCAATAGAACTTACTTATTCTATAAATTGTTGTCTTCAATATTTTTAAAGTATAGGTAGTAAAAGTAGTAATAGATTGAATTGTTACAACTCCTGCATAGGATTCCATACAGAAAAAATCTTGATATGTTTTAAGAATTGGAAAAATTAATAGTATTCTTGTAATCATTACACGAGGCGTATACTTTAAGCTTCAGTGCGTTTTCAAAGAGGCGTAAGCCTCTTCTATGCGAGGCGTAAGCCTCTTATAGTCCAAATAACGCGTAAGACTTGAGGCTAAAAGTTAGAGCCTTGCCTCGAGGCGGGCCTCAAGGCGTAAGCCTCAAAAGCCTTTCAAAACATTGCTCCTAAAGATGAACTTTTCCATAGTTAGACTATTCAAGTCTATTTGGCTTTCTTTTTTTGGCATCATATGAATTGTTTCTGTGATAGTTCTACAATTTGGACTCTGTAACTGTTCCCGAGTCGAAGGGTGGTGGCTCGACAAAGGTGACCAGGATATCGAGAAAAAAAAAGGCCATGGTTGAGATCCCAAGCATAACTCTATCCCATTTTCTTAAGATGTCCAAAGAAGGAACATGGTAACATCAATTCATTAGATAAAGAAACTTGTTAGGTCTTTTCATTAATATTTATTACAATAATATCAAGGATTCAATGTAGGGTATTTAGATTCTTAGGTACATTTGTTGCTCAACCCTGCTTTTCTACGCTGATGTTCTACTGTAAATTATGTCTTCTTTTTCCTTTTCAGCATCAATTGTACCATTTGTATCATTTGAACAGGGGAATGCCTTGTTTCCATTATTGAACAGTTGCCTTCCTTTTCTAAATTTGATCTAGACCGAATATTATCTTGTCGATTGTCACGTCTCTGACCGATCTACTCGATCTGAAATGTCACAGAGAGTGTTGGCAAATGATGACAGTTTGTAGTATGTGGATGAATGAATGCAAGAGGAGCTTAATTATTCAAAGACTGACTGATCAAATTACCTCTTATAAGGGTAGAGATTTGAATTTTCGACTTTTTGATCGAGGATAGGATATGTGATTTATTTACAAAATAGGGCGAGATCCTTTTACAAAGGAATAAATATGATCATGATGTGGTAAATGATATTTTTATTTGCTGTCATTGGGCGTCTGGACTAATTAATGTATATTGATCTTAGGGGATAATTTCTTTACCTACTTTACCACATTTTGGTTGTTAAAGAAACTTAAAAGTTCAATATCTTGATATATTTTAAGAAGCTGTTCAATTTCATTCTCTTAAAGTCTTTGTAATAAATTTTAAGTAGCTGTTGGTTTAAATTCATTATACTTAATTGTTTCCTAAATTAAGTGGCTGGTCAAACTCATTTTCTTAGTCTTCTAAAGTAAGGCTGCTCAAATTCATTTTCTTAAAGTCTTTGTAATATATATATTTCAAGTGGCTGTTTAAGCTCATTTTCCTATAGTCTGTAATTTTTTCACTTGTTTCAATAATCATTCAGCCAAACCATAATTTAATCTTTCTAAAATTATAATTCAAAATTTTATAACGAAATCTTTTAACGTTGTTTGAATATACACTCGTCAAATTTTAACGAAATTTACAATTTAATTTTCTCTATATTTCATTAACATTTTTACAATATCGTGAAACGTTGATAATTGGATTAAAATATTTGTCACAATATATCTATAAATTAAAGAGTTAGACGATTCCTAGAAAAAAAAAAGTTAGACATCAATTTAAATATGAATACTAATAAAAGATAAAAAAAATAATATCATCTATTAGTCACTTAATATGAATAGAAATACTATTAATAATATTTATGACATTCTTATTAATAACTTATTTAAGCAGTGGGAGAAACTTATTTAATAATTAAAACATTATTTATAAGTTTCTTCATTTATAAAATATTTGTAGATACTAATATTTTATCTACATTTTTAGTCCTTGATAGGGGAAATATTTATAATTGAGATCTCGACATTTTCATTGCTTTGAGAAAGTGAAATTACACTTTTAATCCCTAAAATTTGAGTTTGTATCTTTTTTTTAGTTATTGATAAGGGGACATTTTTAGTCTCTGTGGTTTGAAAAATGGTTCTAAAGAATTCCAAACTTCATTGGACTATGAAAATATGATTGRCACTTAAATAGTTCATGCTTGCTAACTTGAAAATATATTAAACTAATATTGTTTTTTTTTGGCCTTCCTCTCTCTTTCCTATTTTCCTTTCTTTGCACATCTCTCATTGGCAAACCTCGCTAGCACCGTTTGCTGTCACTTTCCTCACAAGACATCGTTGTCGTTGTCGTTGTTGACCCATTAGAATAGTTCACCTTATTTGAGATAGATCTAGTGAAGGGCTTAGGCCTTAGTTCTAGACCTCTGATCCTTGGTTAAAAAATCTAGATCTTGAATGAAAAACTTCACGACATGATGGCAAATCCTCTCAAGCGTCTCTTTCTAACGCGACATATTTTCCTCAATACTTCGGTGAGTTCGAGCATTTATACGTTCAATGACATTCATGTTTCCCTTTTCCTATTTCCTATTTCCTATATGTTTTTCCTTTAGAAATAAACATGAATATGTTTGATAACCAATATTTCTATTTCTATTTCTTTTTCTTAGAAAAAAAACAAAAATATGATATGGGAGAGAAAATTATATAATATAAAAAAAATATATGTAACATGCACTAAAACAAAATAATAATTATAAAGAATTTCTAGTATGTAATAAGTTTCAAGTCCCAAAACAAAATTTGAAATAATAATATAAATAGTATTTTTATCTCTAAAATGTTGCTCAAACTTGATCTACAATATCGTCTCTCACTCGAGTCATCGCCTTAAATGATGTCAAACTTACATCTAGCTCAATTATACTACCCCGTAAATTATACAACAATTTTKGTAAAAATCTTCAACGATCATAAATTCATCGACATAGTCAAGAGATCATCTTGATGAGTTATTCAATTTAATGCGTGATTCTGAACAAGAAAACATGATATTTGTATATATTGTTGTGCGTCGATTGAATATAGAGACATTTGTTTACRAATAGGTAATTAAGTTGACCCACGTTTTCTTTAATTCAATAATAAACTTTTCTTTCCCTAAAAATGCATCTATTATTTGTTAGCTAATTAAATCCACAAGAAAAACCAGAAAAGAGAGAGAAGAAATAGTTTTTTTTCTTTGGAAATGTCAAACATAAAATACCAAAATAGTTTCTTTATTTAGTAAAAAGAAAAATTAAATCCTACCAAAATTGAGAGAAAGTAATAGGATTAAAATATAAATAGAAAAATAATGGTCAATGAGGTAGAAAAAAGAGCMATATTATTTTGAAATTTTCTCTAAGCTTGACGTCAGTGCATACGATAGAAATTCTTTCACAATAAGCAATTTCGATCTAAAAAAACATCAATATCATCAGATTTTTTTAGTACATTGAGAATTTAAGCTCGTRACATTCCGTTCCTTGTCTCGATTCTAATTTTTTAAAGAAATCTAGACGTTTCACGACTAATTTTATTTTTTTGGGGGATATTTTCAAAATTGTATAGAAATTTTGGAAACAACAAAATAAGTTTCTCTTTTCTTGTTCCTATTTCCAACTTGTTCTTAAATTCTTGGGAGTTAGAACTATGCAATACWTTTTTCTTCCAACGTTACCAAACGGTCCCTTAATTTCCAATTTTTAGCAATTGAACGAAATTTTTTAATTGAACATATATTGACTGCAGGTCATATTTTTCTTTAGTCTACAATAAATTCGGTGATTATTTAGAATTATTTTTCAAACTTTAAAATTAAAAATGTCCATTTTTATACTAAATCAAATTTTAAAAACAAAAAATGGCCCAGAACTCTTTTGATTTATAAACAAAAATTGTTGGGAACGAGATCAAAGTTCGAATGTCAAAATTGACAATAAATTATGTATTTGGCTATCAACTCGAGCACATGATTGCCTATCTGAGTATATATCAACCATACCATTTTTTTCTTATTGAAATATCGTGAATTTGAATTTCCCATCAAAATTCGAGCACATGGTGAAAGATTCGAATGTTCACCCAGTACCAACGGCCAAGAGGAGAAGTTGGCGGCTTTTCCCGATAATTTATTATTTATTTTTGGATTTTGGAAGCAGAGTGGAAATGGAGGCGGCTCTTGACTTCTCTCCCTCTTTTTCCATCGCCATTACAAATTCTTCGTCTCTTCTGACTGCAGCAAGCGCAGTTCTCTCTGTTCTTCTCCATCTTCCTCGACAATGGCTGCGAAACCCGTCAAGTATTTTGTGGTATTTTACCTAATCTCTTTCTATTGAACGAAATCTGGTTGATTAACTTGAGAACAATTCCGATTGATTTCGATTTTTGGAATCGAACAGGTGGATGCGTTCACCGACTCCGCCTTCAAGGGAAATCCGGCGGCCGTTTGTCTATTAGAGGAAGAAAGAGGGGAGAAATGGCTGCAGGCTTTGGCCGCCGAGTTCAACATCTCCGAGACGTGTTTTTTGATTCGCATTAACGAGGAAGAAGAAACCGATGGAAACTTGTCGCCCAAGTTTCGCCTCCGGTGGTTCACTCCT